CACCCCCCCTCGGGCCTAGCAGAGTACTCAAGGGCATTCCAACTCGCATAGTCGTGAAGTGGTTGTGCTACCTTTAAACCTTTTGACTGCTAATGCAAACACCAGATTCAGTTCCTCGGCGCAATTTATGGTGAATTAAGAAGAGCAGGCTGCCCTGTCAAACGATGTCATATCATCTCCTATTGTCGCACCACCCTTTACTGCTGTTCAATAGGACTTCACGGCTGATATCATCAAATCACTCCTAGATGGCAAAACAGATGATCTAGTCGGACACGCCCCTAACTCGGTGTCAAAGCGAAGCGGTTTGTGCGTGGGCCGAAAAGTACAATAATTGACTGGCTTATTTATGTACTCGTAGCCTAGACCTTCTCTCCCAATGGCTGACGTCATTTCTCGTTGCCGAATGTTGCGGTGTTCGCTAGGTAGGCTTGTTCAGCCACAAAAGACACAATGTTTCAGGCTTTTTTGCTGCCTTTGCACAGTTTGCCTACTAGCAGATACAAGCGTGCGCATGCATACAGCGTAGACGGTGCACAGCTCATTTAAACATAACCGGTCTTTATCATTACCTCTTCATCTAGCGTCGTCTGTCGCTGCCAGATAGGGCAGATATCGACACAGGAATCAGCACAAAACCAAAAAAACTGTACTTCACAAAGCGAACTAACCGCGCTGTGTCATACCTTGGCCAAATTTGGATTTGTAGGTTGTTGTCTATTGATAAACTCTTACAATTTTTTCGGGTTATTTCGTTTCAAGAAGCCAATAAATTGGTATGCGCCCGCATCCTTTTGTACAAATGCCCGTTTGGGTAGTCAGAAATGGTGCGCGGCTTTTTTTCGACACTGCCCATGCCCAAACGCTACCCATCGTCTTTATTGGAAGATCTGTACTGTCCGCCAACTTCCAGAAGGCCTTTGCAGTGGCTGAGGTAAATGACACCTAGTTAACATCCTTTTATATCGTCCAATCTGTAACTGATCATTCGGGCTGGGAAAGAGAAACCAGAACCT